ACTGCCCCTGTGCAAGGTAGGTCAGTTCTAATTATAGGTACTGCCCCTGTGCAAGGTAGGTCAATTCTAATTATGGTCACTGCCCCTGTGCAAGGTAGGTCAGTTCTAATTATAGGTACTGCCCCTGTGCAAGGTAAGTAAGTTCTAATTATAGGTACTGCCCCTGTGCAAGGTAGGTCAGTTCTAATTATAGGTACTGCCCCTGTGCAAGGTAGGTCAGTTCTAATTATAGGTACTGCCCCTCTGCAAGGTAAGTCAGTTCTAATTATAGGTACTGCCCCTCTGCAAGGTAAATCCATTCTAATTATAGTCACTGCCCCTCTGCAAGGTAAGTAAGTTCTAATTATAGTCACTGCCCCTCTGCAAGGTAAATCCATTCTAATTATAGTCACTGCCCCTGTGCAAGGTAGGTCAGTTCTAATTATAGGTACTGCCCCTGTGCAAGGTAAGTCAGTTCTAAATATAGTTACTGACCCTCTGCAAGGTAAGTCAGTTCTAATTATAGTTACTGCCCCTCTGCAAGGTAAGTCAGTTCTAATTATAGTCACTGCCCCTGTGCAAGGTAAGTCAGTTCTAATTATAATTACTGCCCCTGTGCAAGGTAAGTCAGTTCTAATTATAGTCACTGCCCCTGTGCAAGGTAAGTCCATTCTAAATATAGTTACTGCCCCTGTGCAAGGTAGGTCAGTTCTAATTATAGGTACTGCCCCTGTGCAAGGTAGGTCAGTTCTAATTATAGTCACTGCCCCTGTGCAAGGTAAGTAAGTTCAAATTATAGGTACTGCCCCTGTGCAAGGTAGGTCAGTTCTAATTATAGTCACTGCCCCTGTGCAAGGTAGGTCAGTTCTAATTATAGTCACTGCCCCTGTGCAAGGTAAGTCCATTCTAAATATAGTTACTGCCCCTGTGCAAGGTAGGTCAGTTCTAATTATAGGTACTGCCCCTGTGCAAGGTAGGTCAGTTCTAATTATAGTCACTGCCCCTGTGCAAGGTAAGTAAGTTCAAATTATAGGTACTGCCCCTGTGCAAGGTAGGTCAGTTCTAATTATAGTCACTGCTCCTGTGCAAGGTAGGTCAGTTCTAATTATAGTCACTGCCCCTGTGCAAGGTAGGTCAGTTCTAATTATAGTCACTGCCCCTGTGCAAGGTAGGTCAGTTCTAATTATAGGTACTGCCCCTGTGCAAGGTAGGTCAATTCTAATTATGGTCACTGCCCCTGTGCAAGGTAGGTCAGTTCTAATTATAGGTACTGCCCCTGTGCAAGGTAGGTCAATTCTAATTATGGTCACTGCCCCTGTGCAAGGTAGGTCAGTTCTAATTATAGGTACTGCCCCTGTGCAAGGTAGGTCAATTCTAATTATAGTCACTGCCCCTGTGCAAGGTAGGTCAGTTCTAATTATAGGTACTGCCCCTGTGCAAGGTAGGTTCTAATTATAGGTACTGCCCTCTGCAGGTAAGTCAGTTCTAATTATAGGTACTGCCCCTCTGCAAGGTAAATCCATTCTAATTATAGTCACTGCCCCTCTGCAAGGTAAGTAAGTTCTAATTATAGTCACTGCCCCTCTGCAAGGTAAATCCATTCTAATTATAGTCACTGCCCCTGTGCAAGGTAGGTCAGTTCTAATTATAGGTACTGCCCCTGTGCAAGGTAAGTAAGTTCTAATTATAGTTACTGCCCCTGTGCAAGGTAAATCCATTCTAATTATAGTTACTGCCCCTGTGCAAGGTAAGTCAGTTCTAATTATAGGTACTGCCCTATTGCAAGGTAAGTCAGTTCTAATTATAGTTACTGCCCCTGTGCAAGGTAAATCCATTCTAATTATAGTTACTGCCCCTATGCAAGGTAAGTCAGTTCTAATTATAGTCACTGCCCCTGTGCAAGGTAAGTCCATTCTAAATATAGTTACTGCCACTGTGCAAGGTAAGTCAGTTCTAATTATAGTCACTGCTCCTGTGCAAGGTAGGTCAGTCAGTTCTAATTATAGGTACTGCCCCCTGTGCAAGGTAAGTCAGTTCTAATTATAGTCACTGCCCCTGTGCAAGGTAAGTAAGTTCTAATTATAGGTACTGCCCCTGTGCAAGGTAAGTCAGTTCTAATTATAGTCACTGCCCCTGTGCAAGGTAAGTCAGTTCTAATTATAGTCACTGCCCCTGTGCAAGGTAAGTCAGTTCTAAATATAGTTACTGCCACTGTGCAAGGTAAGTCAGTTCTAAATATAGTTACTGCCCCTGTGCAAGGTAAGTGAGTTCTAAATATAGTTACTGCCACTGTGCAAGATAAGTCAGTTCTAATTATAATTACTGCCCCTGTGCAAGGTAAGTCAGTTCTAATTATAACTACTGCCCCTGTGCAAGGTAAGTCAGTTCTAATTATAATTACTGCCCCTGTGCAAGGTAAGTCAGTTCTAATTATAACGACTGCCCCTGTGCAAGGTAAGTCAGTTCTAATTATAGTTACTGCCGCACTGCAAGGTAAGCCAGCTCAGTTCGGTCCAGATCATTGCTTAGTAAATAACCCCAGGATTGTTTTGTGTTGTCTCTCTTTTTCTCCATTGTGTTTAATTATAGTTCCTGACGAGTGGCATTCCTGGAGATTGTTCGGTCTGATCACTGCAGTCACAAGACAGTCACACCAGTCACTCTTTCCATCACCTCATTACAAACACTGCGTGTTCTGCAGGAGGGGCTGATCAGACATGGGGGCTTTGTATAGTCTTGTGCCCCCTGTACAGGAGTCATATGAATAGTCAATAAATCTTAGTTGCCCCAATACTGACTAACAGGAGCTCTGTCCTAGCTTTCTCCCTTTGATAGTAGTCCCAGTAACATTAAGAATGATCAGTAATGTGGTAGGAAAGGTTAAAAGAATGGAAACTATTGAGAGGGGTTCCGCAGGGGCGGACTGGCAGAGGCTGCAGCCCCAAGAGAAGTCCTGAAAAGTCCCGGGTCTAGTTATAGCTGTGGCAAATAAGCCTATGCAACAAGCTTATGGAGGAGCCTGCTAGCTAGCCTCCTGCCCAAAGACTATGGGTCATATCCAAAGACCATGTTTGGGAGTTAAACCTCCTCAGCCGCCATTAGCAGCATTCCCTAGGTGCCCCTGGTTCGGCACTTTCCCTTCATTCGAATGGAACCGAACACTAGCACCCGGGCGGTCGTTCGCATGAAATCCATGAATTGTCCTTAGCAGTACTTAGCTGCAATTGTCATGAAAGTAAATTCGGCATGAGGATTTTGTGGATTCCCGGTCTTCTCAGCTGGACTTAGCCGCAAATTTATGGACCTGTTTTTGGCATGAGGTGACCGTGCGGTCGCACAGTGTGATGGGATTGATGTGGTGCAGGAGTTTAATGCAGCAGGGTAAAGGTTTAATACAGCAAGGCTTGAGGTTAATACAGCAAGTATAGGGTATTTTGCCACCCAGCAAAGTCCAAAGGGGTCAGTGTGTCAATGATAACCGACATTTTGTAAAAGCTATTACCGAAAACTTACAGCTACAAAATGCATCTGAAGTCTACCATGCACAGTATTCACAATATCCGTACACTGTATTTGTAATTTATGGCCCGCAGTTAGGGTTCAGGTTTCTGGGAGATGTCACCAGCCATGGGATTCATGCCTGACCAAGCACGGGCATTCATACATATTTTACATCATGTGGTTAAACTGCGGCAGACTGCACGAGCACAATGTATCATAGCAGCATTTGCAAAGACACCTCAATGTTCTACAGAAATCCCGAAGTAACGTACACGTTTCTATAAAACCTCAAACTGACATTAATGGTGTGAAGGTATGTGTAGCTCCCTCTGGTACAGTTTTCTGTCATTTTAAACTCAGTGACAATTTTTGTTCAATGTGCCAGGTGAGAAAGATCTACTCTACAATGAGTTGGGTTTTTGGAGACTTCAGAAGGAAATTGCACATTTTGACCATGAAGGCGTGTAATGAATACCTTTTGTGGCTTCTGGTAAAATTTTGTTATTTTCTCTGAATTTAATAATTTACCATCAATTTCAGAGAGATTTGGTGATTGAATTGCTATTTTAACAGATTCCAACCATAATATTTTTAAAACAATTTTAGTCTAAATTTAATCTGCTATCAAAGCAATGTAAGTGACTGTTTATTGAGTGTTCAGTAAAAATAGTCATCCTTTTGGCTGTTTCCCTTTGTACACCTTTAAGGTATGTATGGTATTTGTTGTTACTTTAATGTATTGTTTGTAAACTCCACCCTGGAACAAAATATTCTATAAACCTGTTCTGTTTCTTCCTTTCCCAATAGCGACGTTGGTCAAGCTACGTACTCTTTGTCTGAAAGCTTCAGTGGTAAAAGGTAACAAGTCAACGTTCAGAGAGAGAGATTGTATTGGAAGAATGGATTCCGAAAAGAAATCTTTAAACCCAGATGATCACGATCTATATTCTAATCACACAATGACTCCAAGCATTCCTCAGGAAGCCCCTCCATATACTCCCCCAATGCTAAATACAGAGCCGAAGGTGATCACAATGCCTCCTCCTTACTCGCCAAATGACATCAACATCGTGAATACGGTGGTTGTGAAAAAGGCCGGTGGGGCTGGTCTGGCTAAACACTACAATGATTATATGGCGCTGTCCATCATCATGCTCCTCTTTTTCTGTCTGCCCTTCGGAATCGCTGCCCTTGTGTTTTCCTGCAAGGTAATGTGGGTCTGTTGGGGTCAGATTCAGTATAATATTGTTTGTCAAGTGGGAATAATAACGTAAATGTCAGTTAAAACAAGGTGGGGGTTTTGATTATAGAAATCATGTAATAGATATGTAAGAAAAATGTTTTATATAGAAATTGTGTACGCATTGAGTGTGGGAGAAATAACGTCACTATTATTCACCAATTCAAATACAAAAAAAAGTAAAGTAAAAGTAAATGAAGCATCAAAGATCACACGTTTCTTTCTGGGTGGAGGGTGGAGTGACTGACAGCCTTCGCAGCACCCGAATGTTGCACTATAAAGGCCATGGTGTACCAGTAACATTGCCAGGGTAAAAAATGTAAAACAGACTTCAGCTCAAAAATCATTTGGTGACTTTTTCCAAAAGCCTCGACCTGCCCCCTCCTCAAACACCACCCTTTAACATACCTCTTGACACACACACACAGTTACTTACATATATACAAATACACACAGAAATGTATAAATACACACAGGCAAAAATAAAGACACACACACAGTTACTTACATATATACAAATACACACAGAAATGTATAAACACACACAGGCAAAAATAAAGACACACACACGAATAGACACACAGGCACAGACTCAAACACACTGGCACACACAAACAGGTACAACGGACACAGACAAGCATAGAAAGGCATACATGCACACTCACAGGCACAGACAGCCAGGTGCATACAGACACAAACAGACACAGTAATTTACAAATAATCAGACACAGACAAAATACAGGCACATGCAGACACAGATATACAGGCGTTCACAGAAAAACACAAACAGGCACATTTAGATACAGGCAGATACAACAAAAGCACAAACAGGTACATATAGACAAATACAGGTACACTCAGGCATAGAGAGACAGAAGCAGAAAGACAGAGACAGTTACACTTAGGAAGAAAGACAGGCACATACAGACACACACAGACACAAAGAAGCACAAACAGATACAAACACGCACAGGCAGATACAAAAGGTCACAGACAGTTACACACAGACAAAAACACAAACATACTGCTACAGACAGACAGAAAAAGGACCAAGCAGAAAGAGACAGGTACACTCAGGTACAAAAAGACACAAATGGATATAATCTGACACACACAGAGAAAACCAGGTACACACAGGCACAGACTGAGACAAGCACAAACAGACACAGAAAGGTACACCCAGACTCACACATGAATAGAGAAATGACGACAGACACACAGATAAGGTAGTAATGAATGATGAACACAACCAACTAAGATAAAAAGCACTTTATTATACTGGTACAAAAATCACAGGTATCAGCAAATATCGAACTGCAAATCTCGGTATAAATATATCACATATATACAATCAATATGAGGACTATAACCCAATCAGAAGATAAAACTAACCACTCCTGGAGATGCCGACTAAATAGTACCAATCCAGATACAAAAGAGAATGGATACCTGTAAACAAATGTTCACCAAATAATACATACCAGAAACAACTGAACCTATCAAAGTGAATGAGAGGAGGGTGAAAAAGTCACAGAATAGCCCCCAACATTTTGGCGTGTATGCTTGTATGCTCCCTTGAAAAGGCGTACACCCCGAAACATTGGGGGCTATGCAGGTCTGCCCCTTTGCGAGGATCCAGTGATGCAGTTTGCAACCCTGGACTGCCCCTTTTTACCTCACTTAGTGGTGTCCCGATTCACAGGATCCCGATGGTGGGGGCTAGGAATTCGCTCTTAAGTAATTAACCCTGTAATATAAATTTTAAAAAATCTTTTGCTTTTTTACTCTTACAGATGCGAAAATCTATGCAGCGTGCGGACATGATTTCAGCAGAGAAGGAATCGCGCATTGCGTTCATACTGAACATGGTGGCCCTCACCCTGGGACTCCTGGCACACGCAACCTGGATTGGCCTTCTCATACATGCAGTGATAGCCGCCAAGTGCTCGCCGCAAGGGGCCAGTTATGAGTCATTCCAAAATGGAATGAATCATGAATTCAACCATGAGCATCATGAAGGCTGATTGGTTTATTAAATATTCATTAATAATTGTAAAACCACGCATATTGATTAATCAGTCACTTATAATTGACCTGTACTCTTACAAACTATGTCTCTGACTGTTCTGACAGTTTCTGAAACCATTCTTGGCCTTCCAAATGAAGGCTGGGCGACTGTCTCGTTATCTGTATCAACGAGCACCTACTTACAAATACACGTCTGTGCATTAATCTAATCCCACTTTCCGAATAAAGATTTGACATATTTGCAACAGCATACAAACAATTCCGGGCATACATTGTCTTTATTTTATAGTCACAGACTAAGGCTCGTCAAAGGCCTTTAGGGTCATTTAGGGAGAGGTATTAGCAGTAGAAAGAGGGAGGTGCTCATGCCATTGTACAGAACACTGGTGAGACCTCACTTGGAGTATTGTACACAGTACTGGAGACCGTATCCTCAGAAAGATTGCAGGATAAAACTTACCAGGAAAGGTTAAAGGATCTTATCATGTATAGCTTGGAGGAAAGACTGGACAGGGGGATATGATAGAAACATTTAAATACATAAAGGGAATCAACACAGTAAAGGAGGAGACTATATTTAAAAGAAAAAAACTACCACAACAAGAGGACATAGTCTTAAATTAGAGGGACAAAGGTTTAAAAATAATATCAGGAAGTATTACTTTACTGAGAGGGTAGTGGATGCATGGAATAGCCTTCCAGCTGAAGTGGTAGAGGTTAACACAGTAAAGGAGTCTAAGCATGCGTGGGATAGGCATAAGGCTATCCTAACTATAAGATAAGACTAGGGACTAATGAAAGTATTTAGAAAATTGGGCAGACTAGATGGGCCGAATGGTTCTTATCTGCCATCACATTCTATGTAACTAACTGCGGAGAAAGCGTCAGACCAGAATGTCAGGGTTATTCACTAACTGTCAATTCATTGAATCTCACAGCTGACCGGGAGAATTTTTCTAATTTAGATAAGGTGACCAAAAATGGGGAATTTTCAGTAGTTACTTTAATTACGGTTTTACTTGTAATTATAATCTTTGAACACTAGTTGGTGATAGTGTACACAGTTTTATGAACATCGATAAAACGAAGGTCTGCATAGTTCAAGAAGATTCAGTAGAATAAAAGTTAAAGAGGATCTGTAACACAAGATATTTAAACAAAGTTTATCTAAAAATTAACTATCGCCATGATTTTTCCCATTTTTTAAACTTACTCCGAGTAATCACATGTATAGCACTATGCAAGGAATCCCGGAACGCCTGCACTCCCTCGTAGCAAATCTAGATAGCAAGTATGAGAGCACGACGCATCACAGGAATGGGAGTGCTAGGAGGTAAGTGTGCTTTATACACTGTGTAGGTTAGGTTACAGTTAGTTATACCGGGTGGGTTTATATTATTAAAGGGACACTCCAGGCTCCCACACACATTAAATGCACTGTGTAGGTTAGGTTACAGTTAGTCATACTGGGTGGGTTTATATTATTAAAGGGACACTCCAGGCTCCCACACACGTTAGATGCACTGTGTAGGTTAGGTTACAGTTAGTTATACTGGGTGGGTTTATATTATTAAAGGGACACTCCAGGCTCCCACACACGTTAGATGCACTGTGTAGGTTAGGTTACAGTTAGTTATACTGGGTGGGTTTATATTATTAAAGGGACACTCCAGGCTCCCACACACGTTAGATGCACTGTGTAGGTTAGGTTACAGTTAGTTATACTGGGTGGGTTTATATTATTAAAGGGACACTCCAGGCTCCCACACACGTTAGATGCACTGTGTAGGTTAGGTAACAGTTAGTCATACTGGGTGGGTTTATATTATTAAAGGGACACTCCAGGCTCCCACACACGTTAGGTGCACTGTGTAAGTTAGGTTACAGTTAGTCATACTGGGTGGGTTTATATTATTAAAGGGACACTCCAGGCTCCCACACACGTTAGATGCACTGTGTAGGTTAGGTTACAGTTAGTTATACTGGGTGGGTTTATATTATTAAAGGGACACTCCAGGCTCCCACACACGTTAGATGCACTGTGTAGGTTAGGTTACAGTTAGTTATACTGGGTGGGTTTATATTATTAAAGGGACACTCCAGGCTCCCACACACGTTAGATGCACTGTGTAAGTTAGGTTACAGTTAGTTATACTGGGTGGGTTTATATTATTAAAGGGACACTCCAGGCTCTCACACACGTTAGATGCACTGTGTAGGTTAGGTTACAGTTAGTTATACTGGGTGGGTTTATATTATTAAAGGGACACTCCAGGCTCCCACACACGTTAGATGCACTGTGTAGGTTAGGTTAAAGTTAGTTATACTGGGTGGGTTTATATTATTAAAGGGACACTCCAGGCTCCCACACACGTTAGATGCACTGTGTAGGTTAGGTTACAGTTAGTTATACTGGGTGGGTTTATATTATTAAAGGGACACTCCAGGCTCCCACACACGTTAGGTGCACTGTGTAGGTTAGGTTACAGTTAGTTATACTGGGTGGGTTTATATTATTAAAGGGACACTCCAGGCTCCCACACACGTTAGATGCACTGTGTAGGTTAGGTTACAGTTAGTTATACTGGGTGGGTTTATATTATTAAAGGGACACTCCAGGCTCCCACACACGTTAGATGCACTGTGTAGGTTAGGTTACAGTTAGTTATACTGGGTGGGTTTATATTATTACAGGGACACTCCAGGCTCCCACACACGTTAGATGCACTGTGTAGGTTAGGTTACAGTTAGTTATACTGGGTGGGATTATATTATTAAAGGGACACTCCAGGCTCCCACACACGTTAGATGCACTGTGTAGGTTAGGTTACAGTTAGTTATACTGGGTGGGTTTATATTATTAAAGGGACACTCCTGGCTCCCACACACATTAGATGCACTGTGTAGGTTAGGTTACAGTTATACTGGGTGGGTTTATATTATTAAAGGGACACTCCAGGCTTCCACACACGTTAGGTGCTCAGTGTAGGTTAGTTATAGTTATACTGGGTGGGTTTATATTATTAGAGGGACACTCCAGGCTCCCACACACATTAGGTGCACTGTGTAGGTTAGGTTACAGTTGGTTATACTGGGTGGGTTTATATTATTAAAGGGACACTCCAGGCTCCCACACACGTTAGATGTACTGTGTAGGTTAGGTTACAGTTATGCTGGGTGGGTTTATATTATTAAAGGGACACTCCAGGCTCCCACACACGTTAGATGTACTGTGTAGGTTAGGTTACAGTTAGTTATACTGGGTGGGTTTATATTATTAAAGGGACACTCCAGGTTCCCACACACATTAGATGCACTGTGTAGGTTTGGTTACAGTTAGTTATACTGGGTGGGTTTATATTATTAAAGGGACACTACAGGCTCCCACACACGTTAGGTGCACTGTGTAGGTTAGGTTACAGTTATACTGGGTGGGTTTATATTATAAAGGAACACTCCAGGCTCCCACACATGTTAGATGCACTGTGTAGGTTAGGTTACAATTAGTTATACTGGATGGGTTTATATTATTAAAGGGACACTCGAGGCTCTGTGTAGGTTAGGTTACAGTTAGTTACACTGGGTGGGTTTATATTATTAAAGGGACACTCCAGGCTCCCACACACGTTAGGTGCACTGTGTAGGTTAGTGTAACAGACCGTTTTGCACAAAAGCGGTAAAAACCGTTTAGGCGATCGGCCCCCTTTCCAGAGATGCAGGCACAGTTACTGCAGAACACCAAACACACAAACCGCCAATAAGTGAATGCTCCAAACACCCGAACTGCATACAGGGGAATGCTCCAAACACTCGAACTGCATACAAGGGAATGCTCCAAACACCCGAACTGCATACAAGGGAATGCTCCAAACACCCAAACTGGAAC